AACGACGAAGGACTAGGCGGTCGGCGCGATGCAAAGATGGCGGGAGTATGGAAATATGATCCTCCTGGTCCATCGTCCGCCCCGTTGCATCGTGACTCCGACTGCCTGGTCCTCGCCTAAGCCACCATCGCCTCCACTCCGTCGCTACCGTTTCTTCCATCACCACTGTCCGCGCCTTCGCAATAATTCCATCTCGTACTCTTACACAGCTAACAGTACTACGCTGATGCAAGTAAATTTTGCCACTATCAATCCTATTACCACATTTACCCTCGTGATGAAAATTACATACCCAACTGTCCCAAATGCAAATCACTGCCCAAAATGCCTTCCTGTATCCAAATAACCACCCACCCTAGTTTGTTACAATTCCATACATTCTCCACCGTGGGTTCCCTTGCCACCCTGTCCGTCTCCAATGTGGTGCCACCGCCAGCGAGCCCGTCGCCACCCACCGCTCCATGGGCGTTCCCTCCGACGGGCTCCATGGGCGACGTCGAAGCCTTTTCGCACGCCCCGACGCTCGTCCGCATTGAATCATGCGCCCTGTAAGGCGCCGCCCGAAGGCGCCTGGGAGCCGTTTGTGGAAGGCCTGCTTTCGCCGGGAGCGCCCGTGCACGCGCCCATTCCGCCCGCCGCCCCCGCCTCGCACCCTGCCACCCCCACTTACCTACTGAAGTTGAGAGGTGCATGTCTCTATGCTATGAGGATCTTTACGTACGCCGACGGAAAGGTGGGGAGGGCGATAAACGTCTCTTGTATTGGCACTAAAAATCGATTCACATTATTAGTGTGCGGTATGGTGGTTTTTAGGTATAAAATAGCGACGTTAAAGACAAAATCGGAAAGTAAAATACACAGTGAGAAATTTCTGCATTACTTAAGTGAAATATTCATTAAAGTAATTGTCATGAACATACATTAAACTGAACATTAAACTGTACACGTGTACACTAGAATATAATAGTCAACCTTTCTGGCCATATCTTGAGGGAAGGAATGAATGATTGTCGTGGGCCGGTGATTCTAAATATATGATATGAATGATAAGGGGTAAGGGAAACGGGAGAACCTGTACATTAAATCCACACTCATTTTAATTGAATCATTGAATTTAATGAACAAATATATTAAGCTCTTTTTAATGTACAAGTTACATTTAAGTTTGATGTACAATACATAACTTAACATGGAATTTAATGACATTTCTTACAGTGTACGTTGACGGTAAAGTCACATGTCAATGGCGTCACTTAACTTTTCGCAAAAGGCTAATATAATAACTTTGTTTCAAGGAATATCATTTTCGTTACAAAGTGTTCATAAGAACGAACGAAAATTTCCAGTTAAATTACTTCACAATGAATCTGAGCATATACTCCAAAGTAACATTCCTGAGATTACTATGTTATGAAAATTCACTCTTTTGAATAAGTATCCAACATTTTTTTATTAGTAAAATTTGCAATTAGAAACTTAAACGTATCATATTTTCATATTAAATAATTTTCATTTATTATATTAAATAATTTTAAAATATACTTAAATATATTTCCTATCTGTGATTTTTTCAATATTTTCGACCATCCCAAATCATTTAAATCGCAGAAAAATTAGTCATCAAATTATACATTACATTGTAGTTCACTACTGCACAGCGGAAAATGAACTTTTAATTAATATTTCGTAGTAATGGTTTTAAATTTTATAAAAACAAAACATGAAATGTCACATATGTAAAAAATTGCTTGATTTCTTAGTAGACACTTTTGCTGGTATTTATCCTATTTTCTGGTAGATATTATATATGAGGCTTAGAACTTAAATTCATAAAGTGCAACGCGGTACGCTGCTCCTTCAGTGCCAGGATGTTTATAGCCATGCATGTTGTGAAGACATATCCACCTGACGCAGTTGTGTTCAAAAGGGTGAACTGTAAAGTAAAAAAAATTGAACTTTCTGGTCGATCTCAGCGTCAGAGATTGGGAGCTATAAGAAGGGGTGGGCACTACGGGCGGAAATCAAACAATTCCCCGATCTCTTTACTCAGGAGCGCAACCGCAGAACGTGCCGATACATTATCAGAGTGCGAGGCGGCGGCAGCGGGGAAGCGGAGAGCGGCGGGTAACGGGCAGCGGGGGGCTTGCGGGGAGCGTCCGGAAGGCGAGGCTG